ATAAGATAAGCAAATGATGAACATGAAAAGGTGTTACTTTATTTAGTCATCAGGAATTGCAAGTTAAAACCATAATGAAGGAGTACACACTAAAATGAAAATAAAATGACTGACAACATCAAATGTTAATGAAAATGAAAATGACTGACAACATCAAATGTTAACAAAACTATGGAGCAAATGGGACTCATACACTGCTGCTAGGTGCGTGGACTGGTTAATCCAAACAGGTCATGGAAACCTGTTTGTACAGAGGCAGAGCAACATTGAACAGACTGTCAAACTACAGTGGGAAGGCCAGGGAGGATTGTGGGGGTGGGTAAGAGATCAACCGAAGGACTTGTATGCATGCATATGAGCATAACCAATGGACACAAGACACTGGGGGGTATGGGAGGCTAGGGGAAGGTCAAGGGGAGAAAAAAAAAGGAGACATATATAATACTCTTTGTAATACTTTAAGCAATAAAACAATTAAAAAAAAAGAAACCTGTTTGTACCATCTACTAAAGTTAACATATATCCATCCTATATTTCATTAATTCTATTCCTAGGTATGTAATCTGGAGAAATAAAAACATCTGTTTACAAAGACTATATGAGAACGCTCATAGCATCTTTGTCCATTAATAGCTCAAGACTAGAAACAACCCAAATACCCATCAACAGGAGTATGGACAAATTATGGTATATTTATATAATGTAATATTGTCCCATATAATAAAAGGGTAATATGCAAATTGACCGGTCACTATGATGCACACTGACCACCAGGGGGCAGACACTCAACGCAGGAGCTGCCCCCAGGTGGTCAGTGCACTTCCACATGGGTAGCTCGGCTCAGCCACAAGCCAGGCTGACAGCTGAGAGCTCAGGGGTGGTGGCGGGAGCCTCTCCCGCCTCAGCAGCGCTAAGGATGTCTGACTGACGACAGGTGGATGTCCATCAAGGGGTCCTGGACTGCAAGAGGGCGCAGGCCGGGCTGAGGAATTCCCCTCCCCCCGACCCGCGTGCACGAATTTTCATGCACTGGGCCTCTAGTCTAGCAATAAAAAGGAATAAAATACTGGTACACTTAATATGGATGAAACTCAGACATAATGGATGAATGAAAGAAGGCAGACACAAATGAGTGCATGGCTGTAAGGTTCCATTTATATGAGATTTTAGGACAGGCAAAAACTAATCTCTGGTGAGAGAAGTCAGAAGAGTGGTTATGTCTGGGGGCTGGGTAATCAACATGAAGGGGCATAAGGGGACGTTTGAGTAGTAAGAATGTTGGTGTATCCATATGTTAAAGTTCATTCAGCTAAATACTAGATTTATCTATTTTACTGTATGTAAATTATATTTTAATAACACAAGGAAAATTCCATTATAATATGAGGCGTGAACTCAGTGCTTTCCTTCATAGCACTTACCGCAGTGCATGCTCATATACTTGCGTGTGATATATGATTAGTGCCACAGCCCTGACAGAGCGAAGCCTGGGCCTGCCTTCTTCATCCTCGCATTCCCAGTGCCTGGCACACAGCAGGCTCTTGGTATGTATCTGTGAGTGCACGGATGAGGGTTGGGTTAAAACCAGGCTCTGTACACGGTGTTGCAGGAGGGCTGAGGAGGGAGCCTGTCAACTCTGGCCAGGGAGGGGGTGCTTCACAGAGGAGGAGGGGACATTTGAGTCACACCCTGAAAGCTCCTGGGGATTTTTCTCACGCAGAGAAAAGGCGGCAGAGCATTCACATGCAAAGGCCCGTGGACAGAAAGTGCAGCTTGTTGTGTGCTGGTGGTAGGAGCCTTGGCTGTGGTGATAGGAAGAGGGATGGTAGAAAGGTAGGCAGGGCCTTACTTACTGACCTAAAGATTTGTTCTTCAGTCTATGGGAGCCATTTTAAGGGAGGGCAGTCACAAAGCTTGATCTGCATTTTTAGAAAGATCTGGGTTTGCAAACTGGACCCCAGCAGAAGGGCTGGGAGTTCCTCATGGATGTAAAAGGAGGAAGCTCCTCAGCTTCTTGCGCAGATCTAGGGAGAGGCCATCAACACTGAGCCCGCCTTGAGCCTTCAGGTAAGACTGGAGGGGTCAGCCATGCTGAGCCCTGGCCCTCTGGGCTGGTGAAGCAGCGCCACCTACTGGTGAGCCCTGCTCCTGGACTTCGCAGGCCACCTGGTGGGACAGGCCAGAGCATGGCCTCAAAATGAGGGACAGAAAGATGAGCTCTCCCTTTGGTTCAGGGGCCCAAGATCAGTACCTTGTGCAGATGTAGGAAGGAACGGACACACACTAGTGTTACTAGGCTCTGCCAATTCTGCCTGCATTTGGGTCCTAGTTCCACCACCTGGGAAAAGTTATTTAACTTCTCTGCCTCAGTTTTCTCATCTGTAAAGTAATAGAATCCATCTTTTAGGGTTGTTGTGAACAATACCTGGTACAGGTGGGCACTCAATCAAAGCTCTTGTTATATCTACAAATATTAGTATTTTTATCATCATCATCTTTCAAGGTATGGACTGCAGAGTGCCTGGTGCATTTTGGAGGGCTCACAGGCTGGAGGCCAAGGGGCAGCCTATGCACGGGCCGTAGGGAAGCTGTGTGAGCTGGAGAAGGGCCTGCACACGTGGCTAAGGCCAGACTCTCCTGACCACAGTGGGGACTGCGGAAGGGTATGGGCTGGGACCGATGAGGTCAGGTCTGTGTTTTGCAAACCCAGCATCTGTGTACCCTTTCTGCTGTCAATGCCTCACACATATGCCCTCCCAGGGACCCCTACACACCACATTCTGGTCTCCATGGGGTCCTCGTCATGCAGACCAGGAAACGGGCTCAGGGAGGCTGAGGAACGTGTGCAAGTCACGTTGTACACAAGGGGCAGAGCCCGAAGCCCAGGACTCCATCTATCCCATGGTGCTGAGGGTCCGGGAGGGATCCTTTCATGGCACCAGATGCATTGGGCAGGACATAAGCAATAAGCGACTTGACCCTTTCCTGCCCTATATGTCTGCCCCAAGTGGATTCTGAAGCTTTTCTGATCTCTCTCAGCCAAAGCAATAATGTTATTCCAGGAATTAATTGAAAAACTGGCATCTTAATTTTTTTTTGCTACATAATTCATTTTGTACCTTCTTCCCCCGACCGTTTTACTGAGAAATAATTGATGTCAGCACTGTATAAATTTAAGGTGCACAGCCTGATAGTTTGATGAACATATATTATGAAATGATTACCACAATAAAACTGGCATCTTTTACCTAAATGAAAGCGTCTCCCCCTCCCAGCTGGGCCTGCTTCAGGCTGGGAGGTCTGCAGCAGGAAGGGGTGTGAGAGTGTGAAAGCGTGTGTGTGTGTGTGTGTGTGTGTGTGTGTGTGTGCACGCGCGCGCGCATGTGAGAGTGTATGCATATGACTGAATGTGTGAGTATGTGAGGTGTGAGTGAGCGTGTAAGTGAATGGGTGTATAAGGGTGAAAATGTGTTTATAGTGCGGACATTGTATTTATACTCCTTGGACCCAGGCTCATTAACCCACCTCTGTCCCACCAGGCCACCTGCTTTAAGATGTGGTGACACTGTTTCTCTGCCACTCCCTATCCCCACTGGCCTATTCCAGTTTTTTCCTGGGCACGAGGGCGGGGGAGGGGGAGAGGGAGGAGGGAGGACCTAGAGTCTAAAGGCCTGGGTTTACTCTCCAGGTCCCAGCGGGGGGCACCTCTCTGTGCAGACTTCCGGCTCCTCATCCAAGGCTCCTGCCCCTGCTGCACGCAGCCACGCCCTCCTTAGCCCTCCAGGGGGAAGCTGGTTTGCTGGAATGTTTACGAAACATGAGTGAAGATTTTTTAAAAGAAGATAACTTAGTGTAACAGGATTTTTCAGATTTGGTGCAGTATTTCTGAAATTCAAGACGTGACTCGTGTGTTTTCCTGTCATTGCATCTTGGAATGTCATGCCTGCTGCTACCAATTAATTCATAATTTTCCCATTCACCGATTAAGTTGCTCGGTGTCAGCAAATTCAGATTTTGTGAAGTCATGGAGTTATGCCTTCAAGAGGGAGTTGTGCCAACTTGATCAGGCAGCACCGTTATAAGGATGCATGTAGAGTGAATAACAAGGCTGAATTGACACCCCCACCCCCCTTGTGAAATTTGGCCAAATAAGTTATATTCACTATACTTGGAGTTTCACAAAATCCCAAAATAAATTTGATACAAAATAAGTATCAAACTTACTTGTAAGAAAAAAATTGAAACTATCGGACTTTGAAATTTTATTCTGGAGGCCACAGCCATTTGTGGAGCATTGTATTGCTGCGGGAGCCCCACTACTGGATCGCAGGTTTTCACTGCAGGCCTCTCACACCCTAGGCTGTGGTTTTCTGGAAGGTGGGGACTCAGTTTTATCCATCTGGGACCACAGTGTAGCATGTAGTTGGCACTAAAAAAGCATTCATTAGGTGAACCAACAAAAGGAAGTAACGACTGGGGAAAAGGTTGGAGTCCAGTGACTTGCGGGTGGTTGGAAGTCACACAGGTTCTAATGGTATTTTTCTTTTCCTTATTCATTATTTTGGTCACTTCCTTACCTCGAACTGCCATAACAAAGTATCATGGGCTGGGTGGCTTCAGCTACAGACCTTTATTTTCTCAGGCAGCTGTCTGCTGTGTCCCCACATGGCCTTTTCTCAGTGTGTGTGGGGGTGAGGGCTTCAACATGTGAATTCTGGGGACACAATTCAGTCCACAGCAGTCAGTGTGCAGGACACTTTCCCACTATAGGTGGCCACACCTGGAGGCTTTCAGGAAGGCAGAACTGAAACACACTTGGCACAGAGAGGGATAGTCGCTTCCCCACAGTCACACAGCTAGTAGCACAGAGCTGGGGCCGCAGGATCCACTGGCTGGGCAGCTCCCAGAGTCCTGGGCTGGGCTGGCTCTGCAGGAGTTGGGGCCGGGGGTGGGCAGTGGGTGCTCACACTGTCCTGACGCTGCCCTTGTGTTAGTTACAGGACTCTGATCAGACCCACATACAGAGTGTCCTACCGAACAGTGACAGCGCTGGAGTGGAAGTGCTGCCCTGGCTTTACTGGGAGCAACTGTGACGAGGGTGAGTGTGCTGGGACATGGGGGCAGGGGACTGGGCACTGGCCGGGCTGGGCTTCCAAGTCCTGTATGCTTCTCCCACTGCCCTCCTCCTCCTCCTCTGAGCAGATCTCTGTTCCTTCACACTTTTTCCTTCCTTTTCCCAGCACCTTAGAACCGAATGCTCTGCACTGGTCAAACTGGGGTGACACTGCCCCCTGCCCATGGCACTGAGGTGGGGTCCCTGTGTGTTGGTTGGCGGGGGGTGGGGGGGGGATGGAGGAGACCCAGGGGAAGGGATTTGACTCACAGCCTATTTCTTTTGTTCTGGCTCTGACTCACCCAGCAACCAGGGCAGGCAGAGCTGGAAGTTTGGGCTCTGAGCAAATGCAGGTGAGGGCCCACAGCTTTGAAGCTGGGTCTGCTCTAGATGGTGACAGGTGGACCTGGTGGGTGGCAGCAAGAGGAGGGCCTCGCCCGCCGCCCCTGCCCTTCTGCCTGGCTGGTGCCCAGAGGGAGGAGGAGGATGGGGTCCGGAACCTGGCCTTCCTTCCCCAGGTGGGCTCAGCCTGGCTCTGGAGCCCAGTGGGGCCAGACACGCACTCAGGTAAACAAGGACACTCTGATTAAACAGGGAATCCCCAGGGCTCAGAGATAACCTCCCAAGAGCGAAGTGCAAAAACCAGACCTCTTTAGGTAAGGTTATGTCTCGGTAAAGGGTAATCCTTGCAGACTGAGTGGGCAAAGCACAGAGGATGTGGGAGGAGGGGTGCCTTTTTTCAGGGAGCCTCGGGACCCAGGGGCCACCTTCCCAGCTGGCCTGTGCGGCTGAGGATTCCTGGGAGCGCGAGGGCCTGGGCTGAATTGGGGACTGGCTCCTGAAAGCCTTTGGAAAGATTTTACATCCCCGGAAATGAAACAATGACGACAGAAGGCAAAATGGAGCTGGTGGCTGTAAATTTGAGCACATTCCTGAGATGGCTGTGGAGGGTCCTGGGGCAGTTGTTTCCATTCGTTCCCACGGCTGCCTCTCTGGGGAACCTGCAGGTCAGAGGTGCTCTCCTCTGGGCTTTGCTTTGGTTCAGATGCGGTTCCCCAGGAGAAGTGTGCTTTTCTCTCGCTGTGTCTGGCCTTCCTTCCACGCACTCAGGTCTGTCTGGTCTTATGACTCTGGATTTGTGACTGCATAGGGGTAGGTGGCCTCTCTCTGGGCCTGCTTCCTCCCTTCTTTGTCTCTCCAGGTCCTCCTTCCTATCAGCCTCCTCCCCTTCATCCTGGATGCTCCAGGAGTGCAGGCCAAAGGCTTGGAGATACTTCCTTCATAGATATGCTCATATACGGTCAATCCCTGTTATTTGCAAATTCTGTATTTGTGAACTGGCCTACAGGCTAAAGTTTATTTGCAACCCCCAAATCAACACTAGCAGCATTTTTGTGGTTATTTGCAGATATGCACAGAGAGGCAAAAATTTTGAGTTGCTCAACTTGCATGCTCCCAGCTGAGGTTGAAGAAGGTGAAAGTCTGCCTTCTTGTTTCATCTCCCATACTGCACACAGGTGTCCTTTTCACGGTCTGTTTAATGCCACGTTTTTCACATTTTTATGCTTTTTTGGGGAGATCCTGTTGTTTAAAATTTTTCCAAGCATAGTGCTTCCTAGTGTTCTTAAGTGCAAAAGGCTATGATGTACCTTAGGGAGAAAATGCATGTGATAAATAAGCTTTGTTCAGGCATTGAACAAAACACAGAGGATGTGGGATGAGGTGCGCCTTTTTTTATTATATTACTGTTGGCTGTGAGTTCAATGTTAATTCGTCAACAGTTTCTATTCAATAAGGTGTCTTTAGGTAGAAGTACACATAAAACAAGGTTACATATGATCAGCTGATGAAAACGTGGTGCTCGTAGGAACCTAACCCTGTATTTCCTCTAGGAACAATGGTTCAGCATTTGCTAATCAGAGTTCCTCGTGCCTTTATAGGACATAATTACCATGAATTACAAGACCAACTGTATGTATGAATCTATAACTATATTTATGTATCTAGAAAGACTTATTCTTATTACAAAAGCAAGTACATGTTCAGTGTAGAAAGAGTGAAAACACCCTTTTAAGTTAACCTCAAGTCTCACTTAGATGAATGTCTCCAGCCCATTTTTGTGCTGACAGGTCAGTTGTAATGTATATGTTGTTTGATAACTTTCTTTTTCATAAAAATTGTCATGAACATCTCTCCTTGTCAATAGATAGTTTTCTATAGTATCATTTTCAGTGGCTGAACTAAAAGTGGTATTTGGGTACACTCTTTATTAAACCCTAGTATAAGGTATTTAAGTAGTTTCTAATTTTAAATTATTAATAACATTGCTGTAAACATATTTTTAATCAAGTAAAATTTACATATACTGAAATGCACCAGTCCTAAGTGTACAATTTGATGAGTTTTGATAAATACATAAACATTCTATCACTTCCCAGGAAGTTTCCGCCTCTAAGCAACCACTGTCCTAATTTCTATCATCATAGATCAGATTTACCTATTCTTAAACTTCATTTAAGTGAAATCATGTGCTATGATTCCCTTTTATGTATGGTTTCTCTCACTTAACATAATTTTTGAGATGTGTTCATGTTGTTATATGCGTATCAGGTTGTTCGTTTTTGGTACTGGGTATTATTCCATTGTATAAATAACCATAATTTTATTCATTCTCCTGGGGATAACCCTAACCCTAACCCTAACCCTAGTTTTTGGCTTTATGATTAAAGCTTCTGTGACTGCAAAGAGGTGTCCTTTCCACCTGGACCTATAGTTTTCTTTGTGGGGAAGTTTTCGATAACAAATTTGTTATCAAATGAATTTGATAGCAGATTTTATAAATATAGGTCTAAGTTTTGTCCCCATGGATATTTTTCTACGTAATTCTATTCTCTCTCATATTCTGTCCACCACATGTGCCTCAGCCTCCCCGAACTCTGCTTGCTCTTCAGCTCAGGGAGAGTGCTATGTTCTCCTTAGTCCCTGCTCCATGCACTCTAGTCTGGAGGTGCCTCCAGGAATCACCTTGTTGGTTCTTCTTCTCTCAGGAATCATTGTTTCACAGTGTTCAACGTCTGTGAACATTTGTTCTGTAAATTTTGTCCAATTTTTGAATTGTTTATGGTGAGAGGGCAAGTAAAGCATGAGTTGGTATGATTTGAAACAGAAATTGAATATTTTCCTTTATTGAATTTTTAGTTAAACTTTTCTGTATTACTTCTTAGTTATTCTTCTAAAGATTATAGTCTGTTAACTTATTATAGTAAATAGAGTAAATATGGCGATATTCCATATAAATTAGAAGAAACCATCTATAATAATAAAAAGGTAATATGCTAATTAGACCGGACAGCTGAACAACCTTCTGGACGTCCTTTGGGATGAAGCCACCACGGCAGGGGCCGAGGCAGAGGTGGTTAGGGACGATCAGGCAGGCAGAGAGGTTAGGGGCTATCAGGCAGGCAGGCAGAGTGATTAGGGGAGATCAGACAGGCAGGCAGGTGAGTGGTTAGGAGCCAGCGTCCCGGATTGCGAGGGGGATGTCCTGGATTGTGAGAGGGTGCAGGCCTTGCTGAGGGATTTCCTCACCACCCCCCATGCACGAATTTTGTGCACCGGGCCTCTAGTTAATAATACAATTCCATTTATCCACCACCACCATTCTTTGTGCTATTGTTGTCATGTTTGAAATCTAAATGTGTTATAAAATTCAGAATTCAATATTATAATTTGTGCATTAACCAGACAGATAATCTTTTTAAAAAGTGAAAGGAGAAAAAAATAGTGTTTTATTTATCTCATAGTTATCATTTTCAGTGATCTTTAATTTCTTTTTAAAGCTCTGAACTTCCATCTGGTATCCTTTCTCCTCAACCCCAAGAAGTTATTTCAGCATTTCTTTTTTTTTTAAAATATATTTTTATTTATTTCAGAGAGGAAGGGAGAGGGAGAGAGAGATAGAAACATCAGTGATGAGAGAGAATCATTGATCAGCTGCCTCCTGCACGCCCCCTACTGAGGATCGAGCCTGTTCTGCCCTTGACTGGAATTGAACCCGGGACCTTTCAGTCCACAGGCCGACACTACATCCACTGAGCCAGGGCTCGGGCTTGAGCTAGGGCTATTTCAGCATTTCTTGTAGTGCAGATCCACATGCAGTAAATTCTCTCAACTAAAACTTTTTTTTTTAGTAACCACTTTGCCTTAATTTTAATTAGTTAATGAATTAAATTGTGGTAAAACACACAGACATAAAATTGACCATTTTAACCATTTTAAAGTGTATAAATCAGTGGTATTCACAATGTTTTGCAACCATCACCACTATCTAGTTCCAGAACTTATTTTTATCACTTCAAAGGGAAACTCTATACCCATTAAGCAGTCATTCCTCATTCTCCCTTCCCTTAGCCCTTGGCAACCACAAATCTGCCTTCTGTCTCTATTGATTTGCCTATTCTGGATATTTCATATAAATAGAACCATACACTATGTGGCCTTTTGTGTCTGGCTTCTTTTACTTAGCATAATGTTTTAAAGCTTCATCCAAGTTGTGGCATGTATCTGAATAATGAATAAAATTCCATTATATGGATATACCACACTTTGTTTTTTCATTTACCCATTGATGGACACTTGGGTTTTTTCCATATTTCAGCTATTGTGAATAGTGCTGTTATAAACATTCATATACAAGTTTTTGTTTGAACACCTGTTTTCGATTCTTTTTGATATATACTTAGGTTTGGGGTTTCTGCATCATATGGTAATTCTATGTTTAACTTGCTGAGGAACTGTAAAACTGTTTTCATAGTGGCTATACCATTTTACAGTGTATAAGAGTTCCATTTTCTCCAATCATCATCTCTAAAACTTTATTTTCCATTAAGTTTTGAATAATATTTTCATTGAGTTCATAATTCTGGATTGATAATTTTTTTCTTTCAGTACTTGAAACAAATTGGTTGATCCATTGTCACTTGGCA